ATGATTAGTGAACTCCTCTTGCCTACTGGTTGGATTAATAGCTGATAGTTTGGTTTTATTGGAGTTTTCTTCTCAAATTGTATTTTGCCAAATGTGAAATTGACTCGGGATTGCACATTATTATAGACTCTGTGCTATGAATTCTCAATAAGGTCAGTGTAATTATTAGAGACTTCATGCAGTAACTTCTGGCTGTTGGAAAAAATATCTGTTACTTTAATTTCTTGACATAAGAAGATGTACAAAAAATACTTATATTATTTGGCGGTTTTTTTTTTTTTTTTGGTTCTTTTAGCATCCCACAAGCGCACTAGCAGTTGGTGTTTCGATGAGAAACTTTTCCTACAGTCACTTTACAAGGTATGCCATAATACAAAGTAGTCAGTTTGGAGGTCATTCAATGTCTTTCTCGATGATTCTTCCTTTTAATGTATGAACATGCATATGCTCGTGTGTGCACAGGCACACATGCCTTATATGTATCATATAAGTTGTGTCAAAACCATGCTACATATGTGCTGGTATGCTTTCCATTAAATTCTTTCTTTGAGCACAAAGTTTGATTAAGCAGACAGTAGCTGATTCCTCAACTTCCCATTTTACTTAAATGGTATTGAAGGCCATTGTCATTCTCTTGCAGGTACTGGTTTCGGTATCAGAAACTGGTTCCATCATCTTATACCTGAGGGATGTCGAGAAGCTCCTCCTCCGATCACAACGCTTATATAATCTGTTTCAAAAATTGTTGAACAAACTTTCGGGTTCAGTGTTGGTACTTGGTTCCAGGATGTTGGACCCAGAAGATGACTGCAGGGAGGTGGATCAGAGGCTCTCGGTATTATTCCCATACAATATTGAGATAAAACCACCGGAAGATGAAACCCGTCTTGATAGCTGGAAAGCCCAATTGGAAGAGGACATGAAGGTGCTCCAAATTCAAGATAACAGAAACCACATTGCTGAGGTACTTGCAGCAAATGACCTTGAATGTGATGATTTGGGTTCGATCTGTCAAGCAGACACAATGATCCTAAGTAATTACATTGAAGAAATTGTGGTATCAGCAATCTCTTATCACTTGATGAACAATAAGGATCCAGAATACCGAAATGGCAAGCTTGTTATATCATCCCAGAGGTAGACATTAATTATTATTTGATCTTGATATGAGCTTCTTTCACCGCATTTTTCTTCTTCCCTTTTCTGAAAATCTATCAGTAGCTTAACATTAGTGTTCTGGCTCTGGAGCAGCTTGTCCCACGGACTAAATATATTCCAGGAAGGAAAAAGTTGTGGGAAGGGTACATTAAAATTAGAGACAAATGCTGACTCTGCCAAGGTTGTGCTCTAATACTAGTTTTGCTTTAGAAGAATTCAAGCATTTTGGATGTGGGTCACTTTATGCTTATTGTTTAATCGTTCACCCTTCTTTGTTAACCTTAGGAAAATGAAGGTGAAGAGGCTGTGGGTGCGAAGACTGAATCCAAATCCGAAACCCCTGGCTCTGAAAGCAAAGGTGAGACTGAGAAGTCCATTCCTGCTGCGAAGAAGGATGGAGAGAATCCACCAGCACCTAAAGCACCTGTAAGTTAATGTCCTTCAACGGTTAATTGACAATTGAGATGAATATGTTTGAGATACATGTTGCTATGCAGCTTATGTACTTCGAGGATATAAGTAATTACCGCTATAGTTCAAAAACAACATAGCTGGAAAGAAAAGAAACAAACACAGGAAGATTACTATAGTGATTATATCAAGTTTATTCTTATTTTCTAATTTTTCCATGATACATGCTGAACAGGTTAGCAGATTTCAAGGGTCAGTAACTATAAATGCATTTGTGTCATTACGATAAAATCTTGAAAGCTCAAATGTCCATTACCTCTTTCTGGTGTCTTGTTCCTTTAGTGGTCTCAGTTTTATCTTACTACAGATATAATGCCCTTGCAGGAAGTTCCTCCTGATAATGAATTTGAGAAAAGAATAAGGCCAGAGGTTATTCCTGCGAATGAGATAGGGGTGACATTTGCAGATATTGGTGCTATGGATGAGACGAAAGAATCACTTCAAGAGCTGGTCATGCTCCCTCTGCGAAGACCAGATCTCTTCAAAGGTGGGCTTCTCAAACCTTGTAGAGGTATATTACTCTTTGGGCCTCCTGGAACCGGGAAAACAATGCTGGCAAAGGCCATTGCGAATGAAGCTGGAGCAAGTTTCATTAATGTCTCAATGTCCACCATCACATCAAAATGGTTTGGAGAAGATGAAAAGAACGTAAGAGCTTTATTTACGCTAGCAGCAAAGGTTGCACCAACTATTATTTTTGTGGATGAGGTTGATAGCATGCTGGGGCAGAGGACTAGGGTTGGGGAGCATGAGGCTATGCGGAAAATTAAGAATGAGTTCATGACTCATTGGGATGGTCTATTGACCAAAGGCAGCGAGCGAATTCTTGTTCTTGCTGCAACCAACAGGCCATTTGACCTTGATGAAGCAATAATTAGGCGTTTTGAGCGCAGGTATATTTTCATAGTCATCTCACTGTTGCTATTATCCTTGTATTGTCTAACAGTGTGACTGGTTAGTTTTCTGATCATTTTGGCATTCATTATCCTTGTACCTCGGTATCATACACTCACTTGATTAGAGTTTGAGCTCATGGCTTTCAGTATCTATTACATTTAATCAAGGTTTCTGAAATATTGTTTGGAACAGTCTCCTCCATCATTCTTAATGCTTACTTCATTGAATTATTATTCATAGAGAGTTCATATTTTATATACCATCTTGTCAGACTTATTCTAGACCTTCTGTGTTTGTTTCTTGTCAAGGATTTTCTGGCACTTGATTGGTACTATCCCTTTCTATTGTGTCTCTGCCTTGATACCAAGAACTATAATTATAATTTACCGTCATGCTGACAGCTTAAAATATGACTGAGCATCTGTTCTTACTCTTTTAATTTCCATTTTGACCAGAATTATGGTTGGCCTTCCATCCATTGAGAGCAGGGAACTGATTTTGAAAACTCTACTGGCAAAAGAGAAAGTTGAAGAACTAGACTTTAAGGAGCTTGCAACCATGACAGAAGGATATAGTGGAAGTGATCTCAAGGTTTGTTATTTTAACTCATAACATCCATTATATTATATTTAACTGTTATCAACTGATGGCATTAACTACTGGGAACAGAACTTGTGCGTGACAGCAGCTTATCGACCTGTTAGGGAGTTGATACAGCAGGAGAGGTTGAAAGATCTGGTGACTACTAAACCTCTTTCCAATTCAACCATAGTCGATTTTTGCCATATCTTCCTGTTCCTAGTAGTTTTGGACAATTTACTTATGAATATTGTTTTCAATAACTTTCTATAGGAAAAGAAGAAGAGAGAAGAAGCAGGCAAGAGCTCAGAAGATGCCTCAGAAACAAAAGAAGGGGACAAGGAGGAACGAGTAATAACTTTGAGGCCTTTAAACATGGAAGATATGAGGCGGGCAAAGAATCAGGTAATTTCCAGTCATAATTTCTTTTTCCCTCAAATGCTTAGTGTGCCCCTTTGGCAAATTTGTATGTTACTGCCGCTAATCACAAAATTGGTGTTTGAAAACTGTCTTCGATTAGTCAGATCTTAGTCCATCTAGATTTTAATGGGAAAACTGCCACGCTGGTTGCTTAAGTTATTTAGAGCAATATTGGTAGTTCAAAGGCTTTCCTGGGAGAGTGCTTTGAACTTTTGCTCAATTGAGGACATGTTTCTGCTATTAAATTTGCAATTATCTCTAACCTCTCCCAAAATTTTTGGAAAATTTTTGTTGACCCTACTTCTTCTTGTGGTTACTGGACTCTGCTACACAATCTAGAATTACTATGCACCCACAAGTTCTTCAGACCATAATTCTTTCTTAAGTTTTCACCTGTCTTTACAGGTTAGATGCTAAACTTAGTGATGCTGGAAAATAATGATCCTCTTACTAGTCTAACTAAAACTGTTAGTATAATCTTCGGGCTGATAAACTTCGAACTATTGGTCATACATTGAACGTTTAGAGCCAAATGCTTATTTTGGATGCTACACTGTAGGTTGCTGCTAGCTTTGCTTCTGAAGGATCAATAATGGGCGAGCTGAAGCAATGGAACGATTTGTATGGAGAAGGAGGTTCAAGGAAGAAGCAACAGTTAACTTACTTCCTTTAGATTATAGAAAGCAGGCATCTCATGTACTCATCAACAGAGTTCTCTATGAAGAGATGTGAAAATTTCTTACTGCCGAAAGCCCCTTCAACAAAAATGCAAATCGTTCCACTTCCAGGCATACATGGGGTATGGCATCCAAGATGGAAAGCTCTGGCACGGCATCCTTGTACAAAGAAATGCTGACCAATACCTCAGAGCTCTTGTAGGGTTTGTGTGAAAGACCTTTTTAAAGTATATATCTGGCATTTGTACATCATGCTTAGAAAAGGGGTTATTTGGCAAATGTATTCCGCTCCATGAACCATTTGCCACCAAGCTTTGGGTATTTTAGTTGTGTTCTGTGAATGTGTGCCATTTGGAAATGCCGAAGTATTTCGACTTTCAAAACCTGGGAGGAGTTTATATTGGATTGTTTGAGATTCTCTAGTTTAGTTTATAATTATATTCTCTACAGTAGCATTTGTACAATGGTCCTGGACTTTAATCTATGCAAATAGGAAAGAATGCAATAAGACAGGCTCTTCGCGTAGCTGAACCCTGCACTGCAAGCATGCATCGGATGCGACGCAAGTGTTAGACAAATTATGGACTCGGAGTTGGAAGTTAAGCTTGAAGAAGTTTCGTCTTCGTCTTCTTCTTTTTTATGAAATATGAAAAACAATCACAAAATTAAAAAAGACTGATACTGATCGCGCTTCTCTTATCTCAAAATAATTTTACTCACATGTAGATTATTTATAATACTACTAATTATCAAATCAAATCCAATTCACTTTTAAAATGTTCATTTTTCATTCAAAAAAACTCTCATCTTTTAAGTTTATTTAAAAGTATGGTTTCGATCTAATTCAACAAATTTCTGTCTTTTTCTCCCTTTTCTTTTATTTTTTTTTTTGTTATTTTAAGGAAAATTAAAAACTTAAACATGGTGTAGGTTTGAGTTCAGATATATGTAAAGGGATAAAATTTCAGGGACCCATTTTTGTAATTTAACCGAAGAGCCTATGAGACCAAACCTTAACTGCCAGATGTCCGGTCCTCATCATCAAATTTTTGTTCTCCTACTGTAGTAATTTAAAGCGATAAGTACTTTGTCTTGTCTCCCAAAATTCCCTGTGTCAGAATGTTGTAATTTCTGGAAAAATTCCCAAAATGTCAAGTTCGACAGAGAGATACCAAAAGCTAGCTCTCAGAGAATCACTGACAAGAATCTATCAATACCCAATTGCATGTAAAGAGCTCAGCTCCATTCTCAGAGGCGCTTATGGCAAACTCCCCAAGAATCTTCAATCTCTCATCTTTCAAGATACCCTCACCGCCTTTCGTCTCCTTCCTGAGTAAGCCCCCTTGTTAATTTCTGAATTTTGTCTCTACCCAGCTCGTTTTTCTCTTTTTGATGAATTTCAATAATTTAGTTCATCTCTATCCTTGTATGATCATTCCATTTCCAGTTAATTTTGGGTTCAATTTGTGGCCATAAGTTTCTTATAGGTTTTTGGATGAATTTTGGTTAACTTGGAAGCTTGAAGATGCACCGAAAGAAAAAATTTGGAAGCTTGAATTATAGCAATATAAAATTTCTTTCGAAATTGGCTCAGGTGTAGCTAAATAAGTCCAACTTTCAAAAATTTACATGTATTTTGAATTAAATTGAGCACTTATTAATCAATAATAGACCGTATTTTGAAGGTCTTTTGGGGGGGGGGGGGCGGAATGCTTTCAAAATGGTTCTGCTGAACTTGATTAATGTGGGATGATCGCATGGCACACCCAATATCTGTCAAGCACGATATGCATGCTTCATCAGTATCGTTATATTAGGAGATTAACATCTCAGCATTAACAAAGAAAGATTTCAGCACGAGATTCAGTCTCTGGTCATGCTTTAAACAAAGTTGGAACATTTGGTTTATTGAATTATACTCTATTGTATTCAGGAACTGGGATGAATAGCTTTAAATCCTTTTAAACGATTCCCAATTACATTATTACTTCTTCATACTATGCATGCACAATTAAGAACTAGTATTTGTTGCTTAGGGGTGGAGTAAGGATGATAAATGAGACTGCTTCAAAACATCATTAATTGTATCAGAACTTTGTGAGTTGGGTTGATTATTACATCACACAATTATACAGGCACATGTAGTTCATAATTTATCTTTTCTTTTTTTGTTAATTTTGCTTTTATTTAGGAAGCTTATTGTAATTTTAGAATGCAGACAAGCAGTGCCAATGCAGCAGCTCAACTCCTTCTCAAGAGTGCAGAATCTGCCTTGCCAAAACAGAAGAAGAGTTTGGTTGTTACAGAGTTTAAGCAGGCAAAGGTTGCTTATATAAGATGCAGTAGAGCACACAGGGAAGAAACAGGTAAACTTTGTGATAGGTTCACTACAATATGTCTTGGATAAGCCCAATACCACAGTAGAAACCTGAATAAACTACTCATGTTTTACGTCCCTATATATTTCAGGGTCTACCCAATTGCCTCAAGATGTTCTTGTGCACATATTCAGTTTACTGGATTTGCAATCTTTAATCTCTGTAACACTAGTCTGCCGGTAACTTTTCCTCCCTTTTGATGCTGGCTTCCAATTAGAGGTGTAATAGATAGCAGTTGGCACCGATTTACTTAAAAATATTTGTTGCTTAGTTTTGTGCATTTTGGTTGCTCTATTGGAAGGTCATGGAGTTTGGCGGCAAATGATAGCCATCTATGGGAATTGCAATATACCACAGTATTTGGCAGATCTAAAACTTGTTCAAGGACTAAGATGCAGCAGAGTAGCAGATTGGTAAAAGAGGATTATATGTTTTTGGAGGGGAATGGGGATACTGAGACCCATATTCATTGGAAAGAGTCCTTTAAAAGAGTATGTACAGGTATGCGAAATGTGGGCTCTTATTTGATGTGTAATAACTTTGTTAATGAACCATATGCATTGTGCATGTTGCTATAGGCAACGTTTGTAAACTTCTTACTTAGGTTCTCATAGATAGACCTATCAGAATCTCTCTCTAGCTTGCTGGTGCACACTTTTGAATATTTCACTTGCAAATCATCTTTCCATCTAACTGCTGTTTAAAAATTATTCTAAATATCAGGCTCTTTTGCAAAGACATTAATGTCCAATAGGGGATATTGTGGGCATTGCAACACAATTGTTTGGCTAAAGAACTTGAAATGCTCTGATAGACAGTGCGAATTGAAATTTGAAAGCCAGCAGATCAAGCCTATTTCACCGCACCAGGTATTTGTAATTCCAGTTACTGCTTTTCAGTTTCCATTTCATGTCCACTAAACATTCCACATGTTGCAGGTTGCTGAATACTTAACGGATGGTTATATATCAGTGATGTCATCTTCAGATAGTGATAGCGAATCAGATGAAGGTCCCGTTTCCAGATTATGGGCGTATCCTAGGAACATAAGTAGATATGAGAAAAAGCGTATCCTTTAGAAGTATTTTTGTGGGATCTTTTGTAATGGAGGACAGCCTATAGAGATGGGCTGCTTCCTTGATCCTTGCAGTAGACCCCCATATACTTGCAGTTTCTACAGGACAGAAGAACGTAACTATCTGTAAATGTCATTTTGTTGAGAATGGACTTACATACAGTAAATTTAATTTAAGAGAAAAGGTTGTGAATATTGTGTTTCTATCTGTGTGATTTTGATTGATGGTTGTAATGCACTGTTTAGATTGATCAGCTTAAGATGGAAACCGAAGATCTTCAGCTTAGATTGGTCAGACGTTTTGTTGCTGAGAACATAAACCTAGGATTTCGAGGAGATAAATAGATCAAAACATTTATGTGCTTCGTTTATCTCAATATAGTATTTGCTTGTGTCTGTACTAGGATCAAGGCAGTGATCCTACTCAATCTCATTCGTTGCTTCTTACCGGTTGGTGGCTTATTTTGAGGGATGAGCAAATGGGCATCATCACGTCAGTGAGAGTCCAAACACTAGGTTACCGCTCAACATCTGAATCAGAGGAACAACTGATAAGACTTCATCACTTTAGGTTTGGATTATTATGGGTTTACTTTGTTTTTGATTTTGAGACAAATCATGTTCAAGTTATATCAGATCAAGTCACTAACTTTTTGAATTGGGTCAAATTTCTATTAGGCCGTGTCACTGGCAATTTATATTAAATTCGGGGCAAATTTTATCATCTTTGTTTGGTTGAAAATGACAATGAAGTTTATATATGAATTTTATATATATATTATAGATTTTTAAATACTTTATCAATAGCCTTTTCTGTCATTTTTGTAACTTTAAGTTATTAAAATATTACATACAAATTATTAAAATTTTAGATTTTTCTCAAACCTTCTGAATACTTTTTCAGTAATTTTTCTACATAATTTTAGTAATATAAAATTACTAATATATATAAGTTACTGTAATTTTATATATCTTTTAAATATTTTTTCAATAACGTTATATGTGATTTTAATAACTTAAATTAATGAAATATTACATACATGATACTGAAATTCTACATATTTCTTCAGCCTTTGAAATTTTTTTTTTAATCAAAACAACATAATTTACTATTGGTATAAGTAATTTAAGTTGTTGAAATAATCTAAGTTACTGAAATTTCAGATACCCCTTAAATACTTTTTCAGTAACTCTAAATGAGATTTTAATGACTTGAATTACTTAAACTTTACATACATATTACTGAAATTTTTAGTAATTATTTAGCCTTTCGGAATACCTTTTTAATAAACTTTTATCTCACTCCAGTAACTTAAACTACTGAACTATTACCAACCAGGTTGTCGAAATTTTAAATACTTCTACTGAAACATTACATGAATAGTTTTATAGTTTTTAAAGTACTTTCCAATAACTTGCTATGTAGTTCTAGTAATTTAAAGTTACTGCAATATACATACATATTATTGAAAATTTTTAAATATTTTTTAAATGTTTTTCAACGCCGATTTTAATAACTTAAATTTCTGAAATATTGCATACACTGTCACTGAAATTTGATGTAAATTTTTTTAACCTTTAAAATATTTTTTCAATAACTTTTTAATTGATTTTAGTAACATAAATTATCGAAATATTACACATAAGTTACCATATTGTAAACAAGCAATCCAACTTCAAAACTCATGAAGGAAACCACACTTCAAATTGGAACTGATGTCAAAAGGTTGCAATGAATTTGCACTAAGCTGGCCAACAATTTCCCATCATTAGGAAAATTATCAAAGTCAAACACCAATAATAATTCTAATAATAATAATAATAATAATTACTATAATAACAACTCCAAAAGCATTCTTATAATTGTAATTATAATTCCATATAAATTATCCGCAAAAGGTTCTTGTAATTATTAAATTAAATTCAACTACACTAGATTTTAGAAAAAAAGAAGCAAAAGCATGTGATCTAAAGCTAAGGATGTGTGCATCTATATTATAAAGAAGAAACTGGGACTCGAGGATATATAGAAAAACCTAATGGCTTCATGTCTTCTAATCTTTCTTCTTCTCTTTCAATGGCCCTTTAGGAATCTTACTCAGAACCTTCTCATCAAATACAGCATACTGCTTCTTGATCTCAATTATTGCCTTCTCAGAAAATGAATCGACCTGGTCCTCATATATCTCATAAAACACCGGCACAGTGTGTAGCAAAACAAATACTGTAAAAAATTTAATTTGGTCAGTTATAAAAGCCAAAAAAAGATAAAAGCATCTTCTATCTAATTGCATGAGAACATAATCAAATTCCTTACCTATGTAGAACAGTGTCAAGAAGTTACAACAATTGCCCACGAGTGACACAGCCCATAATCCAACAATAACCTAGAGAACATAACAGAAAAGCAATGCCTAGTAAGTAAGCAAACATGGCGCGGCGACTATAACTAGTTCATTTTATACTTGTGGTGGCTTTTTTCTAAAAGCGGAAATGTATTGGCTAGAATGGTTCACTGCTTTTGTGTTAAAGCAAGTCTAGCCATATCCATAACCAAAGAAGCAAAGAAGTGCTAGAAGAAAGCAAGGCAAATCTTAACATACACCAAGAAACTTCTTTAAATCATTTCCAGATGCAATATCCCGGACAACATCCAGAGCTCGGTTAATTTCAATTCTTAGCGCAGATGCAACTTCAAGGACACACTTTTCGGGAAGTACAACTTCTGGAATGTTCGGTGGAGACCTTCATACAAGGCAAGGTTAAGTTACAATAAAGCTTGATCAGGCAATCGCAAGGACAAAATGAAGAATGTTTGAAAACCTTACTTGTTGATAAAGGTAGAGGCATTGGACCATAGGAAAAGTATTGCTAAAGAGAGTATCAATATATGGCAAAACAGAGTGATTAAATGGTATTCAAGCATTTCAAAGAGAATCCACAATGCTGTTGCACCACCAAGCACACCCGTGGAAATTTTCTTGTCCCTCCATAGAAAGACATCAGCAGCTGCAAAACAAGTTCTAATTAAGACAAAAGATGATAATAAACAATGGAAACAGCTTCTTCTGCCCAAAGCTTTTTCTAAGAATTAATGACTTGAGGAATGGAAAAATACATAGAAAACTAATGTATCATAATGTATGAAAGCTTTATCTTACTTTCAAAGAAGATTCATCTGTAATATTATACTATAAACAAATCAACAAAACTTCCCGTGAAATAAAGAACAGATTCAAAACTATTGATGATGCATTCACGATTCACAAATTTCATAAACAGGGAAAAAAATTATATACTTAAAAATAAACAGAATTTCGCTGAAATCATCACTTGGAAGGATTTCGCATCTGGACTAAATCAAACACGTACTCAAAATCAGAACATGAATCAACTAGCATTGGATCTGATCGAAATAAATTACATTAACAACTCCATGATCGAAAAAAGTCACGTAAAATCAATTAATAAAACAGAGCATGCCATTAAATGCAACCAAATGACATCCATTTAAACGACCAAACATCGCATAAACAATTGATAAATAGCTTCGCACAACCTACGTAGATTAAAATGGTAAATCCAAACAGATAGATTAAAACTTAAATATTGTGAATACGTTTTCCGGCGCCTAAGACATGGTGAATTGGTTTCTCTCTGCCAAAGAGGCGATAAACTTTGGACTTGAGAGCGTCAGCGTGGAAGGGCTTGTCGTCGTCGGAGTCTGAGGACGATGAGGAGGCGTCACCGTGGATCTCCTCGGCGACCTTCTCCACCAGCTTCTCTTCGTGCTCCGCCATTGGATCTCTATGAGTTGGGTCGTGCGAAACGAGGGTGTATCGGATTTTGCAGTGCGAAAGAACAGTCGATGACGCAATCCGAGGCGTTTAAATTTGTAGCGTTGGAGTGGAACTGGGAATCCGAAGCTTAGGCTCGGACTAGGACGAGGACGAGCCTTGTACCGCAAAACGAGGAAAGTGCAGGCTCCTGTATTTAGACTATTTTGAGTTATTATCTATAACAGCCAATGTGATTACTGTGCCGTGCCTGCCAATTTTTTTTTGTCCTGCCTAATTTTGATTGCCATTTTAATGTTTTTAAGTTTTTAACATATGGTAAATTTGTAAATAATGATCTAATATCAAACAAAATGATCACATTATCATTAAAAATTAAAATTTAAAATATAAGATTGCAATAAATAAACTATTATATTTTTTTATAAAAAATTTTAACAATTTGAAAGATTTACTCCTAAATATCAGGGCCAATACTCAACAGCCTATGAATGTTCTTTTTCGGGAAATTGAATTGTTTATCTTATGTTAAAGAAAATTACTTTATATACGACAGTAGTAACTCGTAATGGATCAAGCTGTCACTTTACAACATTGAAGAGGGTAAACATATTTACCCTTCATCAATTCGTGAATTACCGGTTGGTTGGTTAGTTACAAAACCGGAGTCTGGAAGTTGACGCCGTCATTTGTCGTTTATTTTTACGTCGACCCAAAGTTCTCCGCCCCGAGATGTAAAAACGTGGCATTCTGTGAATGGCGGGTGCTACTATGAGCAGTTGAGGATTGCACGGACTCAAGTAAGAAGATCTCTCACGAGACGACACGTGGGAGTAGGAAGGCTCCCCGTTGATAGCGCCAGATGTTCGGTTGGCCAACGAACCTCCTCGTCCTTCCGCACTTTCCGTGCGTTGGGTCCCCTCCCAACGCTGAACGTCCCTCTTTTTATTTTATTCCTTTTATTTTTAAAGGTAATTACTAATAATTTACAGTTAGATTATACAATTAGTCTCTATATTAAGTAAAAAGTATAAATTTAATTCATGTATAATAATTTATATAAATTTAATTTTTTACTTTATTAATTTGTTAATTTTATTTCTTATCACTAACATCCATAAATTTGATTGTTAATATACTGACGTGGCATTTTGATCAAGTTGACTTGATATTTTGACTAAGCTAATATAGTATAGATAGAGATGACATGGCAAGATGTTTATCTAGTAAAAAAATCTTAACTCTCCACATGAGTTTAATAGAGAAATTAAGAAAAAAAAAACTCTAACTCTCAATTAAAAATTAGATGAGATTGCAACAAAGGCTTTTGTATTAACTAGTTAAATTTTCAATGAAAAATTACTAATTCAAAACTAGTTGAATCTTCAAAAAGAAAACTTATTATTATTTTTATCTTCAATTTCAAATTTAAAAGCAGTTTTTTTAAAAAAAGAAATCAAAATTCTAGATACATTTTATTGTTTAAAAATAACTCTTACAAATTACATCACTTCTATATCCATCTAAAATTGTAAATTAATTGAACATTCTTATACCAAGTAAATGTTTATTATGTTAGCATTATGCCACTTTATCTCTATTAGTACTATGTTAGCTAGGTCAAAATGCCACATCAATATACTTAATTGCCAAATTTAACAGTAATAGGGTTAGAAATTAAAATTAACAAATTGATAAAGTATAAGTATTTAATTCACACAAATTATTATATAAGGACTAAATTTAAACTTGTTGCATGGAATAAGGGCTAATTGCATAATTTAACTATGATCGATTATAAATTGACTTGACAACAATAAATACAGTATTATTAGTTATAGAATCAAATTAACTTTTTTATATATATATATATATATATTGGTTTGGATCATTAGGTAGCCTGTGTCTGTGTATGTAATGTATACATATATGCAATGACAGAGTCAAAGCACCACCTCTCAATTTCTATTTTTTTTTATTATATGTTTAAAATTTGAGACATATAGATCATA